CCGGAAAACCTTTCCTAACCCTATTCAGTGGCACTCTTCCCAGCATTCCTCGCATCTCCTTCCCATATCATCCTCTACCACCAGCCCTTTACATAACTTGTCCTATTTGTTGCTTGTCTCACTGAGCCGAGAGTCAGCAACAGGAGGGCACAGAGCTTGGCACAAGTTGACAATAAACACTGATGGGAGGTGAATGAGTGGATGAATGAGCAGGCAGAGACATGGATGCCTGATGTTGTATAGATTGAATGCCTGTGTCCTTCCAAATCGCCTACAGTGAATCCTAATCCCTAATGTGGCAGTTGTTTCCTTCATGAAGGAGATTACTGTCATTGTATAAGAGAACCTGGGTTGGGGCTATAGCTCAGTGGAAGAATGTCTGCCTAGGTCCAACCTCCAGTACTGGAAGAAAAAACTCCAAACACACTCAAAACGTCTCTAAGAACTCAGAGAGGTCTCAAGCCCTCTTCCTTTCATCTGAGGACATGAGAGCTCTCCCTAGAACTGACAGGCTGGCCCCTTGACCTCTGACTTCCAGTCTCCAGAATCCACTGGGAAAAGCAGATTTCTAAGAGCTGGGCATGGGAATGAATGCCTTTAATCTCACCACACAGGAGGCAGAGGCAGGTAGATCTCTGAGTTCAAGCAGGCCTGGTCTTCAGAGCAAGTTCCAGAATTGCCAGGGCTACATGAACCCAAACAAAACAAACAAACAAAAAAAGCAGATTTCTGCTGTTTCTATGTGCCTAGTTCATGGGACTCTCATAGCAGCCTTAAAGGATTAAGATACATGGTATATTATCACTGTTCTATTGCTGTGAAGAGATACCATGAACAAGGTAACTCTTATGAAAGAAAGCATTTAATTAGGGGCTTCCTTTCAGAGGTTTAGTTCATTATTATCCTGGTAGGTACTGGAGCAGTAACTGAGAGCTACATCCTGATCCATAGGCAGAGAGAGAGAGAGAGAGAGAGAGAGAGAGAGAGAGAGAGAGAGAGAGACTAGACCTGCCCATGAGCTTTTGAAATCTCAAAGCCCACCCACAAGGCCATACCTCCAAATCCTTCTAATCCTATCAAAAAGTTCCATTGCCTGGTGACTAAGCATTCAAATATATTAGCCTACGGAAGCCATCCTATTCAAACCACTATATTCCACTCCCTGGCCCCTATAGAGTTATAGTCGTATCATAATGTAAAAATGCATTCAGTCCAACTTTAAAAGTCTCTGAAGTCTATCACAGTCTCAATCCTGTTTTTAAAAAGTCCAAAGTTCAAAGTCTTTTCTGAGATTTATGGCAATTTCCTAACTGTAACCTTCTGTAATATCAAAATCAAAGAGCAGATCACATACTTCTAACATACAATAGCACAGAATACATGTTACCATCCAAAAGGGTGGAGAGGGGAGGGAGTTGTGATGCTATTCTTGGTTGTCAACCTGACCATGTGTGGAGTGGACTACAAATCCAGAATGGAGGGCACCCTGTGAGAGATTTTCAGCTTGGTTTGAAGTGGGTGACTGCACTTCTAGTCTGGATTTTTGAGGTAGGAAGACACAGACCCGTGATCTGGATATTGAAGCAGGAAAATATAAGCCTTTGATTGTGATCTAAAGGCTGGAAGACACAGGTCTTTAATTCAGATCTTGAGGCAGAAAGACACCTTTAATATGGGCTATAACTTTTGCTGGAAGTCTCTACAAGGACATATAAGAAGAAAGCCTTCTTTCTTTACTTGCTTGCCCTCGTCTTGCCAGCTCATCCATTCCTTCACTGGCATTGGAGCCTGCTTCTTCAGGATCCCGGCACATACAGAAGACCAGCTGAGACGCCCAGCCTTGTGCGACTGAGCAACCGTGAGAGATTCTTGGACTCTCTTTTCACAGCTAGCTGGATTGTTAAGTCAATCCAATAAATCCTCATATGTGTGTGTGTGTCACAAGGATCATTCCTTAAATTCTGTGACTCTAGAGAACCCCAAGTAATACAGATTTCTGTATCAGCAGTGGTTCTAGAGAAGCAGAAGTACAAGGACGAGTCTTCTACTTTTTACGGATCTAGGACAGGCTTTTCAATTCATCAGCACCTTCAGCTACTGAAGTCTCTCCAGTCACTCTGTTTCCTGGGAGCCCAGAGAGCACTGAAAGTCCATGGCATGAACTGTATTACAGCTTAAAGAGATAAATGCATTTGAGTATCCTGAGTCATCCACTGTGAGTGGCAATTCAGTTGCTGACCTGTATATGAAACTTCTGACAGCTTGGGGGAAAATGATGTTTCTGTCTGGGTAAATTGATAAAGGGTAGGAATGAGCTCTGTGATAAAATTAACCAACTTCAGAATATGGTGAAAGACAATAAAGAACTCAATGATAAAAATGATAAAATTGATATGGAGGGGCTCTAGGTACACATAAACAGCTTAAAGGTTTCTAAGTGTGCCCTGGAAGAGAATCTTATCTTAAGCATCCACAGAGCTTGAGAAAATCAAACTGAAGGCCCTCGTTATAAGGTTGGCTGAATTATATAAAAAATTCAAGTCCCAGGCTCAGAGGGTGGCAGTGGTTAATGGAAGGGCATTAACTAGTAAAGAATGGGATTCTATACCTTGGGATGGGGACGTGTGGGAGAACCCTAGTAAAGCTGAGAACTTTGAACCCCCAGATTCTCAAGAGTTTATCTCACCTGAGGAAGTATTACTCTCAGCCCCACCCCTTGAAATACTGCCTTTTTTATTTTTCACTGAGGAAATTAATCCTTCATTGCCTGCTAAACCAGGAGCAAATGTCATGCCAGGAAAGACAATACTGATGACTCCCACCAATAGTTGCCTCTAGACCCTATAACCAGACCTAAGGCAAAGCAGGCTCCTAAAGGGGAAGTAGGAAGTTCAGTCAAGGAGGAGGGGCACTACACTACTAAAGAGCTTAAAAAGATTGCTAATTCATTCAAGCAGAAGTCTGGGGAATGTGTGTGGGAATGATTCTTGGACTTTCTGTCCATAGCCAGCCACTATTGGATTAGCTGGACTGCAGCCTGTATGTCATTTCAATAAATCCCCTTTATATATGTATTCATCCCATAAACTCTGTGACTCTAGAGAAACCTAATATATAGTGAGTATAATGAGGAAATACTGGACCAAAGCAAGGCTGAAAACCAGCAGGGTGAACTCCAAATTCTTCATCTCCATGTCAAAGTGTTCTTCATATATCCAAATCTGTTCAGCTTTGTTGACTGTAACACATTTCTCTCTCTTGAGCTGGTTCTACACCCAGTCTGTAGCTCTTCTTGGAATGTATCCCATGACTCTGGCATCTCCAACATCGTGGGGTTTCTGATGAAATCCAGATTTTGCCTTCACAAATTCATGCAATGGCCTCCTTGGGTCTTGATTCAGGGACACCCCTGACACACAACTGGTCCCAGTGACTTTCCTTAGCCATGAGGGAAATTCCACAACCCCTTTCTTGTATTTTTGACTCTAAAGCCAGAACCAAGAGGCCAAAGCTGTCCAGTTCTGCTGCTTGCTGGGGTTGGAACCCGGGCCCCCTCATTTAATTACACTCACTTCAACTTTCTGTTGTTGATAGCTCCATCATTGGTTAAGCTTTTCTTTAATTCCTTTTCTCTGTTGGAAGCTTAGTTGGGTGGGGTCTTGCCCTGAGGTCACCACGCCCTTTACGCGGTGTGGCGTCAGGCTGTTTTGTTTAATCTCCTTGAGCACTGGACTCAGCTCCATGGCAGTTCCTAGAGCTCTCATTCTTCTCAAACTGTAAATTTTTAATTTTTCCTTGCTCAGTTTGCTCCTTTTCATTCTAGATCTGCAAAAGACTGGACACTAATAACCAAGCAACAGAGTCCATACTAGGCTATCTTGAAATCTCTGCTGCCAATGCCATTAATTCAAAACTCTTCAACTTAGCTTCAGGCAGATTTTTCAGACAGGGACAAAAAACAGCCAAATTCTTTGCCAAAATATCACAAGAATTGTCTCTAGGCTTCTTACTAATATTCTTCCCATCTGAAACTCCTTGAGCTGATTCCCCAGTTAAAATCACCCTCATCATACTGTCTTTCATGCTCCTACTAGGATGGGCTCCTAAGTCCCACTTAAAGCATCCAACCACTTTCTAGTACAAAGTCCCAATGTCTTCTGTATTCCTCCAATGAACAGACTGTCTGTCACAGCAAAACCCCACTCCCGGTACCAACTTCTGTCTTAGTCACTGTTATATTGTTGTGAAGAAACACCACAACCAAGGTAACTCTTATTAAAGAATATTAATTGGGGGCTTGCTTACAGTTTTAGAGGTTTATTCCATTAATTATCATCATGGTGGCAAGAATGGTGGTGACATGTAGGCAGGTGCTGGAGCAGTAGGTGAGAGCTATATTCTGATCCACGGGTAGAGAGAGAGAGACTGGGCTTGCCATGGGGCTTTTGAAACCTCAAAGCCTACTCCCAGGGACATACTTCCTTCAACAAGGCCACACCTCCTAATCCTCTACTTCCTGGTGACGAAACATTCAAATATATGAACCTATAGGTCCATCTTATTGAAATCATCACACATGGAAAACATAATATTATAAAGGCGGATTCCATTGTAGACCCCAGGCATCTGAGACCTCATGGTGTAGATGAATTCAGCCCTCCCTCAAACCAAAGGCCAATAAACCCTGAGCCAGACAACAGCACTGATGGCATTTTCCTTCCCCCAGTGAGAGGAAGATGAAAACTTTCATGTGGTCATAGTCTCCTCTCTAAAGGCAGTTTTCAGTTAAGTCAGTGGTTTTTGTGTAGCTATTTCCTCAGAGATACGATCCTAGGAACCTGGCTGATAACTGGGCTGTTTGATGCCCTCTGTGTCCTAGAAGCCCTGCAGTGCTGATTGGCTACTTCTTGAATTAATGAGTGGCTGTGGTCATAAGAGGAGGAAGTGGCACAAATTGCTGGTGAAATTCTGCCCATACCCATAAGAGGCCCAACTCCTACCTGTGCTCAGGTGTGAGCACTGTCTCTCTGTAGTCTTCATCACCTTCAGAGGAGTCAAGCTTGGAGCGGTCCTGCCACAGCAGCTGCTCCCACTTCTGCTCCATGGCCTGTTCTCTTTGGGGGGGAAATGAGAGCCTGAGTCAGTCATCATCACTGATATTGTCTCCCCACCCATCTCCCCAGGCTACAGGGATTCTCCCCATCCTCCAGAACACAGCAGAACCAGGAAGTGCCAGGCTACTTTCCTGAGGGGTGCAGCTCTGTGCTGTCTCTAGTGGGCAAGGCTGAAAGAAGACAGCTATGGCCGCACAGCATCCAGTGCATTTTTATTTGTGATCTTGTTTGAACATATCACGGCTCAATCACATGATGAGAGGATGCTTGTACCCCCGGTCCTCGGCAGCCCAGAGCCTTCCCTCCCATCATCACGGACCCTTGGTAAGAACAATTCCATTTCCTGCCAAGGTCCTGAAAGCAGCCTTATACCTGATGATTTCTAGCCCATGTGACTGGTTCCCTCATGTCACATATCTAACTCTTCAATCCCCAAACAACCTAGAACCTAGCAGGTCGGGACATAAGACCCATTAGAAGCTTGGAGCCCTTTGCAGGCCCTCACTCTCAGCTCTGCTGCGTAGGACAGTCTGCAGGCAGAAAAACACATTCTGACCCCTTGGGACGCTTCCGTGATTTAGTGGGTGTTTGGGTTCAAGCAGTTTATCACATCACTGCTTTGTCTCCTACCACATCCCTCTTACCTGTCAGCATCTGGAGTTCCTGTCCCAGCCTTCCAGGAGCAGCATGGCCTGTCCTATCTGCCTTTACAAGATATCACCCCTCCCCCTGCAAGGATCAAGGGCAAGCCTGCTATTTGGGGCCCTTTCTTAGCAACTTGACAATACAGAAAATACCAAATTCAAGACATGTCCAGGTGAGGGGAGTGGTACCATTAACTCCCTACATCAAGTCTCCATCTCAAGCAACGACAACCAAACAATAGTCCTGAGATATTAAAAAGCAAAATAACTATGGAGGAAGGAGACAGATTGATTTTGAGAGTAGATAGAATGGATAAAACCAGGGAAAACAACCGTCCATCCCATGAGTATCCCTAACTCTACTCTGGGCAAGCATGCAGGGCTGTGAGTTCTGACCAAAGATCCTGTGAAGACAGGCAGGGATGCTTTCAGCAGCAGTTAGGAGGCAGGAGCTCCACCTGCACTCAATGTGTCTGTGCACAGACCTGCATTTAGTCTATGTGCACACATGCACACAGGAAAGGACGGGGAGGAAAGAATTAGGTCACGAGAATAATGAACAATCATCTGCTTACACGCCACCGAACGGCAGGTTAGCCAGCAGGCCCACACAGGAGCAGCTGTTCCTGGCCACTTCACAGCATGAGGAGTCTGCTGGGCACAGGAGGAATCTGCAGTCCCACTCCAAAGGGCCCCTCCTCAATGCAAGCCAGCCTCCTCCCTGAGAGTCACCCCAAAAGAAGACTGACAGGTGCTGGTCGCTGACACTAGCTGCACCCCCTAAGAGACTTCGACTTCTGACCAACTTTTGCCTTCAGAAACTGCAGAGGCGAACAGTATCCGGAGCCTGACTTCTCTCTGAGCAGTGGTGCTGTGTGACAGGAAGGCCGGCGTGATCAGATAAAGTGAGAAAGAAAGGCGGCCAAAGGGGCTAGTACAGGACAGGACAGAGGCCAGACTCAGGCCGAACCACAGCTGTCTTCCTTTCCATGGCCCTCTGATGGGACACCTTTGTGGCATCAACTGGGTAAGGGAGGAGGCTGGGAGGAAGAGGGACCTGGGATGAGGGCTTTCTTTGATCCTCATATAGATGAGGCACCTGGCCCTGGACCTGACTGTGAGCTATGCTTCTTCCTAGTCAGAGCACACAGGGTAGGCCATGCCTGCCGGGAAGGCTGCTCCACAACCCCACAGGGAGTTGCCCTGAGCCCTCAGTCTTCATCTGCTTCATAACTGATCCCGCCCCGTGACAGGCCTCGCCGCACGCTCACCTCTTCTCTTGCAGTAAGTAGTCTAAGTTGTTGACATAGCACTCCGAGCCCCCAGAGGAAATCTAGAAAGACAGGACACGGGCATGGGGAGGATTTGGCATGAATGTATTCTGCTCGCTTTTCTGAACTGATAATATAGTCACACGAGTTTTTAAAAATTGGAAATTATGAAGGTCTCTCCCAGTGCCTAGCTACAGGCAACCCCAGGTGAATGTGCTTGTGTGCTTTTAGGTGTTGCTATACAAGGACAAGCAAGCAGTAATTTCATCCACCCCTGTAATTCAAACAGAATATGCCACACGCCTCAGCCTGCACTGTGTTCTTTCCAATCAGAAATACATCTTGAGTGTCATTTCATATCATTGCCAAAGATATCATGTATATGTGTACATGTACAGGTATTTGTGTGTATGTTTATATATGCACATGTGCATGTGTGTATATGTGTGTTCACTGGTTTGCAAATGTATGTGTGTGCATGTGTGTATGTGTGTGCAGGTTTGCACATGTATGCATGTGCATGTATGTATAAGTATATATATGTGTGTGTGTGCATGTGTATGTATCTGTGTGTGCATGCTATATGCTCAATTGACATTGTCAGGTTATTCTTAGACATGACTAGAACACAATTCACTAGTTCTCCAGTGGCATTGACAATCTTAGGCTACTGTAAATAATTGAAACACTATGCTTGGAATAAATTTCCTGAGTCCATGGGCCCTTAAGTGTCCCTCACTGTGCTTCCCACAGGTCCTCCCTGAGTCTCCATGTAGGATCTCTATTACTGCACTCCAGTTACAGTCTTTGTGTGCTGCCAAGCCCAGATCCTGGCCCTGAGGTCCTTCGTTGCTGCAAGATCAACCCCTAACCTTAGACATAAATGCCATGGGGGCCCCATGCAGAAATGGCATTGAATCTGGTGCTACCCCCGGCTTTCAACAGGCAGAGTTAGGAGTAAAAACACGGACAGGAGTGGAGCCTGGCTTGAGGTCTGCACTCTCAGCTGTGAGGGCCCTTGGACTGGGGAGAGGTTAGATATATAATCAAGCAAGAGTTGGGACCGGGGCTAAGTGCACAAAGAGAGTGGGGGCATGGCTGTGGGAAGGGGCAGCCAGAAAGGTCGGGCTTGTGGGCAACTAAGAGGGGTCACTAAAAAGAGGCCAATGATCTAATCTACATGGGAAGTAGAAAAAGACAATATCTCCTGAGTAAATTGGGAGCATGGGGACCTTGGAGGAGGTTTGAAGTGGGGAGGGGAGAGGCAGGGAGAGGAGCAGAGAAAAATGTGGAGCTTAATAAAAATAAAAATAAAAAAAAGAGGCCAATGAGGTAAAGTCAAGGTGGCGGGGTGGGGGAGGCTTACTTACCTCTGGAGTCACAGCCTGTTGGCTTGGACCTGCCATGCTCCAGAACAGTTTCTCCAGTGAGGCCAGCCCTATCTTCTGGTCTGGAGGCTTCTTCTCCAAGTCCTTATGTGGTCTCCTGTGAATCTGAAGTACCTTCTTGTTCTTGTTCAGGAATTCTATAGGTGGTGGGCTCCAATCAGTGGGGAACGAGTCTCGAGGCATCTGCATCTTGGGCCTCTTCAATGATCTAGGAGTAAGAGCCACTGTGGAGCTGTAGAGCGGTTGCACTGAGTAGAGAAGAGGGTGTCCAGAATGCTGCACTTCAGGTTAGGAAAGGGACAGGCAGGCTCAACAATGGCTGCTTGAACCCCTGTGGATATGAAAGAGTACTATGGTGTCCCCATCCACCCCACCAGTGTCCCAGACATTAAATCACACTGGGTACAGAGAGGGACGACTTGGAGTTGCTATGTATTGATTGTAAGGGTAATAATTCCTCCATCATGATGCCTTTGGCCCTGCCCTCATCATGTGCAGGTAATGCCTCCCTCTGCAAAATCTTCTGAGCCTGGGCATCTGAAAACTTTGGGATGCTCTATTCTCAACAGAACTCCTTGACAGGTGAGGTGACCTCCAGAAGAAACCTAAAGACTAAATCCTTGTGTTTCCCAGAAGGAAGGGCCTGGTACCCAGGAGGAATTTCTTCTTCAGGACTGTCACAAGGAGTAGGCACTGTGCCTGAGGTCAGACAACTAAGATGTAGGGGCTTCCTGACTTTTCAGAGGGGCAAGCAGAAGGACTTTGACTCCCTGACTCCCCCCTCTCTCTCTTTCTCTCTCTCTCTCTCTCTCTCTCTCTCTCTCTCTCTCTCTCTGTCTCTGTGTGTGTGTGTATGTATGTTTGCCCAGCACCTTCCAAGAGATAAGCTGTATTCTGAGATGATATCATGTCCCACATCATCTGGTCTGAATTTAGGGACTCCTATTCCAACTGGTATCATCCTGCTTGTTACAAGAGGTGGGACAGGGTGATCTGTTCTCTACCATGTCTCAGACTTAACACATGGTTGGAGGCTCACATATTTTGGTTGAGTGACGGAGCAGTTTAAAGGGCTGCTGGGAAGGACCAGGATCTGAGGGACAGGTCTGGCTGAACTGCAGTGAAGGCGAACAGCTAGTGAGAGCCTAGAACCCAGCAATCAAATAAAGCGACAGTTTACAGAAGTTTACTCTAAACCAACTAGGATTCATGCTCCACAACAGTGGAGAAAATTCAAATCAATATAACTGGGATATTTTACTCAAAACATTAAAATTTTAAGACCTAATCAAAATGTATAAAATCATTACAATGACTATTGACATGTGAGAAACAGATTAATACTTACACTTAAAAATGCTTATTTGGTTACATCAAGGAGGCTCAGCTGGGAAAGGTGTTTGCTATACACACACAAATAATAGAATACATTTTTAAATATTTATTTATTTATTTATTATGTATACAATATTCTGTATGTATGTATGCCTACAGACCAGAAGAGGGCACCAGACCCCATTACAGATGGTTGTGAGCCACCATGTTGTTGCTGGGAATTGAACTCAGGACCTTTGGGAGAGTAGGCAATGCTCTTAACCTCTGAGCCATCTCTCCAGCCTCAATAGAATACATTTTTAAATGGCTAATTTCTTTTCTTCAATGTTTGTCTTTCAAGTCAGGGTCTCACTATGTATGTAGCTCTGGCTGTCCTGGAACTCACTATGTAGATCAGGCTGACCTTGAACTCCAGAGATCCACCAGCCTCTGCCTTCCAAGTGCAGAGTTAAGCATGCACCACTACACCTGGCTAAATGGCTTATTTTTTTAGGGATCAATCTCTATCAATGAAGCATAACCACACACACAAAAATGTCTATATTCTGGAGTGACATCAACAAACAGTGCCTCAGGAAATCCCTAAAATATGGGCCATCACAGGTCTGCCAGATAGAAACTTAAAAGAGAAATAAGAAAACTAACAGATATTATGACTCAAATGAACTTAACAGACATATATAGAACATTTGACCCAAACACAAAAGAAAATAACTTCTTCTCAGGACCTCATGGAACTTCCTTAAAAATTGATCACACACTTGGTAACAAAGCAAACCTCAACAGATAAAAAAAAAATTGGAATAACCCCATGTATTTTATCAAATCGCCATGGCTTAAAGTTAGAATTCAACACCAACACTAATTACAGAAAGCCCACAAATACATGGAAATTGAACAATGCTCAACTGAATCATCAATGGGTCCAGGAAGAAATAACAAGGAAATTAAAGACTCCCTAAAATTCAATGAAAATGACCGAACAACATACCCAAACTTATGGGACACAATAAAAGCAGTACTAAGAGGAAAGTTCACAGCACAAAATAACTACATAAAGAAGCTGGAGGGGGCTGGAGAGATGGCTCAGTGGTTAAGAGCATTGCCTGCTCTTCCAAAGGTCCTGAGTTCAATTCCCAGCAACCACATGGTGGCTCACAACCATCTACAATGAGATCTGGTGCCCTCTTCTGGTGTGCGGGCATACACACAGACAGAATATTGTATACATAATAAATAAGTAAATACTTAAAAAAACTTATTAAAAAATTTAAAAAACAAGCTGGAAAAATCCTACACTTAGTGAGTTAACAGTACACCTGAAAGAGCTAGAACAAAAAGAAGCAAACTCACCCTGAAGAAATAGACAGTGGAAAATAATCAAATTGAGGGCTAAAATCAATAAAATAGAAACAAAGAAAACAATACAAAGAATCAATGAAACAAAGACTTGGTTCTTCAAGAAAATCAACAAGATTGACAAATTTTTATCCAAACTAACCAAAAGGCAGAGAGAGAATATCCAAATTAACAAAAGGAATGAAAAGGGGGACATAACAACAGACACTGAGGAAATTCAGGGAATCATCAAGTCATACTTCAAAAACCTGTACTCCACAAAATTAGAAAATTTAAAGGAATTGGACAACTTTAAAGTACCACATACCAAAATTAAATCAAGACCAGATAAAAATTAAACAGATCTACAACCCATAAGAAAATAGAAGCAGTCATCAAAAGCCTCCCAATCAGTAAAAGCCCAGGACCAGGTGGTGTCAGTGCACAATTCTACCAGAATTTCAAAGAAGCGATAATACGGTTACTCCTCAAATTGTTCCACACAATAGAAACAGAAGGAACACTGCCAAACTCATTTTAAGAGACTACAGTTACCCTGATACTAAAACCACACAAAGACTCAACAAAACAAGAGAATTACAGACCAATCTCCCTCATGAACATTGATGTAAAAATACTCAATAAAATACTGGCAAACCTAATCCAAGAATACATCAGAAACATCATCCACCATGATCAAGAAGGCTTCATCCCAAAGATGCAGGGATGGTTCAACATATGAAAATCCATCAATGTAATCTATCATATAAATAAGCTGAAAGAAAAAAAAACATAATCATCTCATTAGATGTTGAAGAAGTTGTCAACAAAATCCAACACCCCTGCATGAAAAATGTCTTGGAGAGGTCCATGAAACAAGGAACATTTCAAAACATAATAAAGGCAACAAACAACAAGCCAACAGCCAGCATCAAACTAAATAGAGAGAAACTCAAAGCGACTCCACTAAAATTAGAAACAAGACAAGGTTGTCCACTCTCTCCATATCTATTCAACATAGTACTCAAAGTTCTAGCTAGAGCAATAAGGCAACAAAAGAAGATCAAAGGGATACAAATTGGAAAGGAAAAAGTCAAACTTTCACCATTTTCTGATGATATGATAGTAAATATTAAGTGACTCAAAAAATTCTACCAGGGAACTCCTACAGCTGATAAATACCTTCAGTAATGTGGTGTGATACAATATCAACTAAAAAAAAAATCAGTAAACCTCCTATATACAAATGATAAAAGGGTTGAGAAAAAAATCAGAAAAACATCACCTTTCACAATGGCTACAGACAACATAAAATATTGTGGGGTAACTCTAGCAAAACAAATGAAAGACCTGTATGACAAGAATTTTAAATCTTTGAAGAACAAAATTAAAGACTTCTGAAAATGGAAAATGAAAAAAAATGATCCTGGATAGACAGAACTAGCATTAAAAATGGCAATCTTACCAAGAGCAATCTACAGATTCAGTGAACTACCCATCAAAATCTCAGCACACTTCTTCACAGACCTCGAAAGAACAATACTAAATTTCATATGGGGAAACAGAAAACCCAGTAATAGCCAAATCAACTCTGTACAATAAAGGAACATCTGGAGGCATCACCATCCCTGACTTCAAGCTCTATTATAGAGCTACAGTAATGAAAACAGCTTGGTATTGGCATAAAAACAGACAGGAGGACCAGTGGAATCAAATTAAAGATCATTATATTAAAACACACACTTATGAACATCTGAATTTTGACAAAGAAGTTAAAACATGTCAACATGTAGAAGAATGCAAATAGATCTATATCTATGGCCATGCACAAAACTCAAGTCCAAATGGATCAAAGACCTCAGCACAAATTTATCTATATTAAACCTCATAGAAGAGAAAGTGAAGTACACTTGAACTCACTGACATGGGAAACCACCTCCTAATTATAACACCAGTAGTACAGACACTGAGAGCAAATATTAATAAATTGGACCTCTTGAAACCGAGAAGCTTCTGTAAAGCAAAGGACACGATTGACAAGACAAACAGCAGCCTACAGAATGGGTAAAGATCTTCACCAACCCCACATCTGACAGAGGGCTGATCTCCAAAATATAAAAAGAACTCAAGAAACTAAACATCAAACTACCAAATAATCCAATTAAAAAGTGGGATACAGCTCTAAACAGAGAATTATCAACAGAAAAATCTCAAATGACTGAAAGACACTTAAGGAAATGTTCCTTATGTCATCAGGAAAATGCAAATAAAAAACAATTGTGAGATACCTTAGAATGGCTAAGATCAAAAGCACTGATGACAGCTTATACTGGTGAGGATGTGGAGTAAGGGCAATACTCCTCCATTGCTGGTGGGAGTGCAAACTCGTACAGCTGCTGTGGAAATCAGTATGGTGATTTCTCAGAAAATTTGATATCAATCTACCTCAAGACCCAGCAATATCACTTTTGGGCACATACCCAAAAGATACACAAGAACATTTGTTCAAGTATGTTCATAGCAGCATTATTTGTAATAGCCAGAACCTGGAAACAACCTAAATGCCCCTCAATCAAAGAACAGACAGAGAAAATGTGGTTTAATTACACAATGAACTACTATTTGGCAGTAAAAAACAATAACATTTGTAAATTTGCAGTCAAAAAGACGAAACTAGAAAACCATCCTGAGTGAGGTAACCCAGACCCAGAAAGACAAATATGTATATACTCACTCACAAGTGGATACCAGAAATAAAGCAAAGGAAAGCCAGCCTACAGTCTACAACCCAAAGAACAAGAACCCTTTTCCAGAAACAGAAGCAGAGACACACAACTAAACAATGAGCCGAGCTCTAGGCAAACAGAGTGTTGAGCGATAATATGAACAAAGGGACCAAGATGATGATGGGAAACCCACAGAATCAGCTGGCCTGAACTAGTGGAAGATCACTGGTTCCAGACCAGGACCAAGCTAGGGTCCCTGAATACAGGTGACAATAGTGTGACTAGGGCAGTATATGGGGCCAGTGGCAGTGGGACCAGGATCTAACTCTAATGCAGGAACTGACTGTGTGGAGCCCATTCTCTATGGAGAGATACATTGCTCAGCCTAGGCATGGGTAGGGGAGGGTTTTGGTCCTACCTCAAGGAGGTGCTGGGACAAACTTCCCAGGGGTGGCCTTAACTTCTCTGAGGAGTGGATGGAAGTGGGGTGGGGTAAGGGGGGAACAAGTGAGAGGAGGAGGGAGGGATAACTAGGATTGGTATGTAAAAAATAAATTAATAAATAAAATAAAAAAAATACTCACTGCTCTTGCAGAGGACCTGAATTCCATTTCTAACACCCACATTAGGGCTCGCAACTGCCAAAAACTCCAATTCAAGGAGATCTGGTTCCCTCTTGTGATCTCCACAGGCATCCGTGTGCACGTGGTGCACATACATACGATTAGGCAGACACACACATAAATAAAAGTTAAAATAAAATAAAATAAACCAAAATAACCAGGCATGGTGACATAAGCCTTTAATCCCAGCACTCAAGAGGACAGAGGCAGGTGGATCTCTGTGTGGATGAAGCTACTCTGGTCTATACAGAGTTTCAGGTCAGCCAGGAGACCTTGTCTCAAAAAAAACAAATAAAAATGTCACTAGCCATCTGGTTGCAGGACTAAGTGAAGATACTCTTCAGGGCTGGTAGTCTCAGGTCCCCAAATGGCCAAGGCCCAGGGATTGGACGAGCAGTCCTAGAAATGTATGGCTCTAAACCATAAGACATAGGGGCCTATTTTTCCAGGTCAGAGATGTAAAGTTCCAGACATCTGAGTTAGAGGTTTATCAAAAAAGCTTTAACTGGGGTTGAAGAGATGGTTCAGAAGTTAAGAGCACTAGCAGCTCTTCCAGAGGTCCCAAGTTCAATTCCCAGCAACAAAATGGTAACGAACCATCTATAATGAGATCTGGTGCCCTCTTCTGGTGTGCAGGCATACATGCAGGCAGAACACTGGATAATTAATAAATGCATAAATCTTAAATAAAAAAAAAGCTTGCAGAGAGATGGTGGTGCACGCCTTTAATCCCAGCATTCAGGGAGGCAGAGGCAGGCAAATCTCTTTGAGTTCCAGTCAGAGACACACAGAGAAACTGTGTCTTGAAAAAAACCAAAAACTGCCCGGCGGTGGTGGAGCATGCCTTTAACTCCAGCACTCGGGAGGCAGAGGCAGGTGGATCTCTGTGAGTTCAAGGCCAGCCTGGTCTACAAGAGCTAGTTCCAGGACAAGCTCCAAAGCTACAGAAAAACCCTGTCTCGAAAAACCAAAGAGAGAGAGAGAGAGAGAGAGAGAGAGAGAGAGAGAGAGAGAGAGAAAACAAAACCCCAAAAAACCTAAAAAGCTTTCATCTCCAGCAACCACAGCACTTAAGTCCCTGCAATCCTCAGCTTCCAGCGGTAGAGAGTGGCGGTGGCGGCAGCACGGCAAACAGTGACTTCTACAGGCTCCAAGGTGCTGGGACCCTCAGCCTACAGAGGTCAGTGTCCTTGACAGGAGCTAGCCACACAGCTGTCAGGCTCAGGGTGTCTCAGACTCCTGGCCTCTGAGGCTTAGTGGCCCCCTGGAACTCTTCTAGCAACCAGGGCTGACAACTCTTCGGGGGTCCTCACTGTCCCTCTCCCTTTGCTTCTCTCCCCACGGTTTCTGCCTCAGTTATTTCTGAGCTCTTCCGCTGCCCTCTGGCGGCTGTGCTGTTATCTTCACCGCAGCGCTAGCGCCACACCCACCCTCTACACGTTACCAGCTCAGCAAGCTCTTGTGATAATAATAACAAAGCAGGGCCAGAGAGAGCTCAAGTTCCATTCCTGGAATCCACGGTGGAAGAAGAGAAGCAACTCCCAAAGCAGTGCCTGTGGGTGCAGGCCAGAGGCATGGGATTCCTAGAGCTGTGGTTATCTAAGTGGTTGTGAGCCACTTGGCATGGGTGCTGGGAATCGAACTCAAATACTCTTAACTGCTGAGCCACCTATCCAGCCTGCCCCTGCCCCTCCGAGGTGGTGCACTCTTGAATCCTAGCCCTCGGGAGGTGGGGGCAAGGAAGACCTGGATTTTGTCATCCTTGATTACACAGGGAGTAAAAGGCCAGCCTGTGTTATTATTTTGAGACCTTGTCCCACAAAAGCACATAACCATACCAAAACAAAGCCACCTCTGAAAGAACAACAGAAAACAAAACAAAACAAAACAAAAAACTAGGTGATGTGCAAAGACCACCGAGAGAAACCTGGGCTTTAATGCTTTAACACACGACAGTCAACAAAGGAGAATGTCTCCTGAACAGCCTGCTCATCCCAGTTAGCAGGGATGTCAGCACCAAGCCTGGAAGCCCCTCATGCAAAGGAAGGACCGCACTTGAACCAGTCACGAAGTGCTCCTCCTCTGGCCTGGATGAGAACAGGGCTACAGGGTCACTGAGAGTTTACAGAGTCAAGCAAAAGTTGTTTTGAAACAGTCGTGGCTGAGTTAGCATTCTGGAGCTGGGACTACTTCAGTAGCAAGTAGCTATGGCTGCACTGGGCTTACTAAAGATGCATGTGGAGGGTTCAGAGGCGTGCTGGTGTGGGAGCTCGGCTGGGCGCTTGACTCATAGTCCCTTTGTGCAAGGCGGCGGTGCACCAGCAAAGAAGCCAATGCTGTCAGTTAGTCACATTTCCTACCCTATTACACACGTGAAGAGGGGTGTTGACAGGAGCCTAGGGATCCGGCGCAATGGATAAAGCCCTTGCTATGCAAGAATGAGAGCCTCAGTTCAGAACCTCAGCGCCCATTTAAAATCTGGATGTGATGGTGTGCATCCCGGCTTAGAAATAACATAGTAATCAGTGAACTGAAGCAACAAAATAAGTGATCAGAAGTAATAAAAAGCAGCAGGCTTTACAAAGGTAGTTTAGGGAAGTGAGTAGGAAGAACCAGTCCTGGGGAGCAGGGAGAAGCCAACTGCAGGAGGTACCGTTTTAGCCACACTATGCAAAATGCCCAGCTGTGCTTGTTTTTGCTTTTTGTTTCTTTTTGAGACGTAGTCCTGGCTATTCTAGAACTTGCTATACAGATCAGACTGGCCTTGAACTCATAGAGATTCTCCTGCCTCTGCCTCCCAGGCACTGGGATTAAATGCAGGCACCATCATACCTGACTAAATGTCCAGTTCTCAACATAAAATTACAAAATATGCAAAGGCAAAACAAACTCCAAGATTATGATCTATTCATAAGAAAAGGGGAAGGGCAATAGACAGAAACTACTCCTGAGGAAGCCCAGACATTGATCTTTTAGAGCAAAGTGTAATCAATAGTCTTAAGAATGTCCAAAGAATTCAGAGACCATGACAAAAAGCCAAGCAAAGCCAAAAGAATGATACGCCACCAAAGTGTCAGCAAAAAGGTAGGGCAAGAAAAGGCACCAAGCAGAAACCCTGGAGATGAAAAGTCTAAAAACTGAAATGGAAACTCTGTAACAAAAATACTTTCCAACAAAGGCAGAGACAGCAAGACCTCAGGAAAAGGCAGGCAGGAAAATGAGTTGTTAGTGGGCTTGTCTTAGCAGGGTAGCACCTGCTACCAGAAGGAGACTCAGTTCCCTCCAGTGAAGTCTCACTGGGTCTATTGACCACACCTCAGGGTAAGCCTCATGCCCAGGGGTAGTTGGCCAACACAAAATGAACTCAGAGGAAATTTTGTAGACTTTTTGTCTCATTTTCCTTTTTTGGAAATTTTTTTGTCTTATTGGCTTTTTGCTTGTATGTTTTGATTTCAATTTTTGTGGTTTTACGTGTGTGTTTTTGTGTGTTTCCAGAGTTCTTTTGTTTTGTTTTGTTTTAAGAGCGAGATTAAGAACATAAAGTTGGCTGTGTAGGAAGAATTAGAGGAGAAAAACATGATCAAGATGTCAATACGAAAAAAAACCTTTCAATTAAAAAGGAAAAAGAGTAATCCGTGTCTAAACCGAAAAAAAAAAGGGGGTATCAGAGGCCGAAAAGATGACTCAGTGGTTATGAGCACTGACTGCTCTTCCAGAGGATTGAGCTTCAATTCCCAGCATCCACAACCACATGTAACTCCAGTTCCAGGGGGTCTAATACCCTCTTATGACCTCTGAAGGGATTGCATTTCTGTGATGCAGAGACACATGCAGGTCAGACACCCATAAGCATAAAAATTAGTAATAAATGAAAGTATTTTAAAAACAGTGCATAGCAACTAAAGGTAAGTAAAGAGAGGAATGTAAGACAGTGCATGGTAACTTCTTTTCCTTCTGTCTGGCTTGAAAAATGGGTGGATAGTGCAGCACTCGTAAACCTCTTCTGAAGGACACAACGTATAAAGTCATTTACATAAAAATAACAACACAAAGGAGGGGAGTCTATAGCTATATTGGTATACGGGCTTTTTGTGTGTTTGCTGTTGATGTTTTGAATTTAAGGCCTCTAGCCTAGCCTACCCTCAAACTCTTTATGTAGTCAAGGATGGCCAGATACTTCTGACCCTCCTCTCTTAAGAGTTAGGGTTATAGTCAAGCGTTACTTTTTTTTTTTATATATAAAGTAGTTTATACAATACTGGGGATTGAATCCAGGTTGGTAGTTTGAATAAGATGCCCCCCAAAGTCTCACACATCTACATACTTGGTCCCCAGATAGTGACTCTCCAGGAGGATTATGAGGTCTGGCCTTGCTGGGGAAGTATAACACTGGGGACAGGTTTCAAGACTCTGACCATCTTGAGTTAGTTCTATTTCCTGCTCATGTTTCCAAATGGGAGTTCTCAGCTGCTTCTCCAGCCACCTGCCATCTCCACTGCACCACAATGGACTCTAGCCCCAAATAAACTCTTCCTTCTGCAGGCTGCCTTGGTCATGTGTTTTATCACAGCATGAAAAACAGCTAATACACCAGTATTAATAACTAATGTATTAGCAAGTAATACATTCTGTGCAAAAAAAGTCTTCCAAATGAGCTTTTTCCTCAGCTTCAGGTTTATTTAAAAAGAGAAACAACTCTAGGTTTTTTATTTTAGTATTTATTGGTGTTCTATCTGCATGTATATCTGTGTGAGGATGTCAGAAGCCCTGGAACTGGAGTCACAGACAACTGTGAGCTGCCCTGTGGGTGCTGGGAACTGAACCCAGGTCCTCTGGAAAGCCAGCCACCGCTCTTAACTGCTGAGCCATCCTTCCAGCCCCTAAGTTTATTTTATTATTTTATGTGTATGGTGTGTATGGGTATTTGCCTGCATGTATCTGTGTGCGCCACATGTGCAGCTGGTACTCTTGGAGTTCAGAAGGGGGCACTGAATTCCCTGGGACTGAAATTATAGAAGACTATGAGCCACCATGTGGGTGCTGGAAATTGAATCTGGGTCCTCTGGAAGAGCAACAGGTGCTTTTAATCATTGACTCCAGTTGATTAATCATTTTTTAAATATTTATTTATTTATTATATATGCACTGTTCTCCCTGCATGTCTGTCTACACTCCAGAAGAGGGCACCAGATCTCATTCTAGATGGTTGTGAGCCACCAATGTGTTTGCTGGGAATTGAACTCATGACCTCTGGAAGAGCAGCCAGTGCTCTTAACCGCTGAGTCATCTCTCCAGCCCCTAGTTGCATTAATCATTAATCAACTCTCCAGACCCCCAGATTTTTAAATAACATTTAAACTATATATATATATATATATATATATATATATATATATAGGGTTTTTTTTGTTTTTTGTTTGTTTTTTGTTTTCTTTTTTGAGACAGGGTTTCTCTGTAGCTTTGGAGCCTGTCCTGGAACTAACTCTTATAGACCAGGCTGGTCTCAAACTCACAGAGATCCGCCTGCCTCTGCCTCCTGAGTGCTGGGATTAAAGGTGTGCGCCACCACCGCCT